AGCACGAGCCTCCCTCCCGGGCTCGGCACGCCGCTGACTTACCCTGTGCGGGTACTCGGCGCACTGGCCCTGCGGAAGACGGGGATTAAAAGGGAAGAGTTTAAACTCCGTGCGGGACCGGACCGTCGTGGCCGTACTGCATTCAACCCCACCATGCCCGCCTGCACCCGACAGACACCCGGCCTCCTGTCCCCGGCCCAGAGCCCTCCCGCCCCTTCCTCTTGCTGTTTTTCAGCAGAAAAGGGCCACCAGATTCAATATCTTTTTCCTTCGAGCGATACTTGGAAGCGATCGGGCTGAACATCCGCATCTCCTATTGTTCTTAACTCGTGGGCACTTTTTCTTTCGGAGTCTCACATTCACCCCGGCAGATAACACAGATCAGCTTGCAGCCCAAAGGTCAGGTGAAGACTACAAAGCTGGGCCAGGAGCCCATTCCCTGCTCGCTTGTCGCATTCAGTTTTCAACCCATCGCCCATTACAATTACCTTTTCTCCTTTCTGCCCGGGAGGTCCCTAGAAAAGAAAAGCAATAAATACATATAAATATATATAAAAAAGCTCTCACTCAACGAGAGAGCTGAGCGCACGCAAGGCAGAAGGGATTAGGGGAGGTGTGACTGCAAGGGAGAAGGTACTTACGGGTTGTCCCCTGGGACCTGCTGCGCCCTTTAAAGAAACACGTGGTGGTGAACACCAGAAGGACTCCCGTTTGCAGTGACAAGAGGACAAAAAACAAGCTGCTAGCCTGGCAGACCCGCGCGCGGGGACCTCGCCATCAGCGACGCCAGGGCAACCAGGCCGCGTCTGGGCTTCCAGCAAGCGAGGCCCAACTTTATCTTTCTCCAGCGAAGCCCCTTTGGTGCCACGCGCAAGCGAAACGAGGCTTCAGGAGGGGAAAAACAGTCATTTAATATGAAAAGAATGCTTTTTTTAGTTAGATAAGTTGAGAGCTGCCAGATGGGGCTTCCAGAAAACTTTCCATCCACTTTGACTTCTGCTACGAGGCCAACCACGAGGAACGTCAGCTCCCAAAGCATATTTAAAGAACCTAATTGCTAACCGCAAGGCAAAACCGTATCCCAAGCGCAACCAGACCGTCGCTGTCGCGACACGGCCATTTCGAGAGCCGTAAGGCCAAACC